AAAAGTGAAAATTCTCAATAAAAATGGCTTACCTTATTCCATACGTGTGTTGTTTGCTCCTGGTGTGGTTATTTTACCGATTTAACTTGATTTAAGCGATTTTTTTTTTGAATTCCGGTTTTCCGGGAAAAAAAAAGTCGCTTAAATCAAGTTAAATCGGTAAAATGTTGTGACTACATTTATCACCAATAAGAGGACAGACGCATAAAAAACTGATCCCAGTTTGTTTTTTACAATAACAAGACCCCAAAATGGTCAAATGCCGAGAATAAATCAGGGGAAAAGACGCCGTGAACTTGCCGTAAACTAAGATAAGGGAATTTTGTTCACGATGACGCGAACATTGCCAATAGCTTTTCTCGCTTTGTGATTGGCTACTTAAAAAAGTCAATTAAATCTCATTGGTTAAAAAGTTGACAGTTTGACAGCTGAAAGTTGAACTTGAAAGCTTGCATAAATTAAAATTTTATCCGTCTGTACTCTTATTGATGATAAAAATGAGCGAATCAGCGCGCCAGAAATTAGACAGTTAGTGTAAAAATGGCTATTTACGACGGTTTACGATTAGTTAGGTATGACCTGAACCATTTCAAAATATGCAAGTCCACTCCATATTGATAATGTTGAAGCTTCTCCAGCAGATCTAGAATCCGGTGATCCATGGTGTCGAAACCTTTTTTGAGGTCGAGAAAAAGTACCCCATTTATGAGACTATTGCCTATGTTTAAGTCAGTCACTCATTAGTAGTTGCAGATTATTACCTAAGAAAATTTGGCGGTTTGAACTTTCTATTAGGATGTAACTATGACGTAAAATATGTAGACGGTTTGCCCTCGTTTTAAAGAGATACCGTAAATCCTCGAATTAGGGCCCACCTCGAATAAGCGCACCCTTCGAATAAGCGCCCCTCATATCGGCCGAAATTTAAAATAAGCGCCCCCGCCCCCCACCTCGAATAAGTGCCCCCCTCCCCTCCCCCAATTTTGTGGACGAGTAATGAGACAACAAAGGGTGTATAGTTTTCGTCATGTAGTATTAGATTTGTACATTGTTTCAGTTTGTGAACACGTTTAGTGGACACGTTGAACACGTTAAGTACTAACGGTGACGCGATTTAAACTTTAGGATCAGCTTTTTATGTCAATAAATAGCTTATGTTGGTGTTAACGCGCAGATGATTTATTAAAAAAAAGGATCATGTCAGGCTACGATTTGGGAAAATTTAAATAAGCGCCCNCGGGCGCTAATTCGAAGATTTACGGTACTCTTACCTTTTGGTCAGCTACTGTCCTTCCAAGAATTTTAGAACAAGTATGCCTGCAAAACGAATTTTCTCCAGTTTTATCAAGTTATCAGTGAGATTCCTCACTTGTGTCCGCTTAATACAAGGTGTCCGCTCTAAACAGGTTCAATAAGGATAGTTTATTATTAACCCTTTGTAACAAAGTGTAACACAGTGCAACATCAAAGACTGCTCATAGCACAATGTCAATGCATCAATCTGGAATAATCTATTCAGCTCTAAAACGAAATCACTGAAGAGTTTTAACTAAGGTGTCTGACCTGAGCTTTTAGAAGCAAAAAGCCTTTGAAATGTCCGCTTATTGCAGCTTTTGTGCAACAAAATGGCGTAATATTGGTGTCCGTGTCCGCTTAACAGAGGTGTCCGCTGAATGCAGGTTTATTTTACAGTAAATGTGGGAGGAAAATTTAGGCACTCAAGCTGGTGTCCACTTAATAGGGGCTGTCCGCTTAATATAGGGTCCGCTTAATACAGGTTTTACTGTAATCAAAGCAAAAAAAGAGCCCTGGAAAACGAACTATAACTTCCTGGAACTGGTACTTCCTCACCTGTTCTCTACACAAATACACTCTACACAAACACAACGCGAGAAAAAGCTAAAACTGGAGACTTCTATCAGTATGGTTTACTAAACCGTAAAATTCAAACGCGTACGGTCAGCCAGACTGGCCCAATGAAATGGAACAGCATAATAAGACTAGATGGGAATGCCTGGAAAAAATGTTCACCTCCCTGAAAAACATCTGCAAGGAGACAAAATTGAAGGAATTCCAGCTTCAATTAATCCATAGAATTGTCGTTACTAAAAAGGAGTTTCATCAATATGGTATTTAAGCGGACGATGAATGTCTCTACTGTGGTGAAAAAGACTCAATTGATCATACATGTTTTAACTGCCAATTTGTAAAGATTTTCGTAAACAACATAACTGACTGGTTTAACGCTCCCAACAAGTCAAAATTTGTGCCAACTATTGAAGAGAAACTATTTGGTATCATATCTGGCCCATATGAAAAAGAAATATTAAAGAAATTTAATGACACGATCCTATTTATGAAATATTACAAAACCACTAGTAAGATAAATAACTACGCTGTTTACATTTCTGTCCTTGTTAAAAAGTTTTATTTAAGTAAAGAATAAAAAACTTTTGTTATTAGTTACGAAAAACTACTTCCCCCAAAAGTGCCCTGGGTGCTCGACTACCAGAATTCAATGTAATGCCGTACATGAAACTGGTTATGCTATATACTAGAGAAATGTTAGCAATGTGGTGAAAATTAAATAGTTAAGTAATGTACGAGATAATTGTAGGTACTGCGATTTACGTAAAAAAAAACGTGAAGTTCAAATGTAAGTAATATTAGTGACAAAACGCACTGAAAACAAATGTAAAGTAAGTTATATGATATAAACGATGTAGGTACTAGTAGTGCAGAAAACCAATAGAGTTTATGATAAAAAGATTAGCCTCAAGAAGCGCCGGTTTGAGTGGAGTGACTGAGGGTCAGCTAAGAGTAAAGTTAAGTAAAGTAAAATCCTTTATTTAAAACACGATTATCGTTTAAGCACTACATGTTTGAGGGGTCGTGTATCTAATTAGTTATCTAATTACTGATAAAATGAATGAAATATAAGAAATTAACTTACTTTATCGCAAATCTGATTCTTCTAGCACGCCCTTTTTTTTTCTCAAAACATAATGCTCTGATCTCTCATTAATTCTAGTTCCGGTTTACCTAGTTTCTTTAAGGAGAACTCGACAGCTGTGTGAAAAGTCTTGAAGTTAGACGAGGAGTCAGACGCCGCGTCAGACATACTACAAACGATTTTTGTCACAAGTATTTGACAATTCTTTATTGCAGAATTATTTTGTAGTATGTTTATGACAACCTTCATATTTGACCATCTTATCAGAACCTACCTACAGCATCAAAACTGAAAATGCAAAATGTTGAAACTATGTTCCTCGGTTGGTAGGCCAGGGTTAAATAAAGTACCTCTCTTATGACAACATTAAATTTAACAGCTTTAAGCCTTAGACCTATTTTAGACTTGCATTTGTGCCAGGAATGGCACCATATCTATCACAAAGGGGACTATGTTAGCCGTCAAGAAAGCATCTCTTTTACATTAAACGTAAACATGTACACTACGGAATTGTTGGAACTATGTTAGACTGGTTCTTGAATCAGAGTTGTAACCACATAAGCAAGGATGGAACTTTCAAAGCCATCACATTTCAAAACCCTACAATGCTACAAATGTTGGAACTCAACTGTGTCATGTTAGTCCTTGCACTGGGGTCAGGGAAAACTTATCTCTTAAAACTATAATGTTCCTAATCCTATAGTCTAATTTAATTTAATAGTGCATTAATTTAATTTTTAATGCAAGTGTTGGAATTTTACTACACTACCATGTAGTTCCCTGATCAGGGATGCAACTATTAGCGTGTTAAAAATCTGCAGTACTATATAAGCCTGGTAGTTGGACCAGGGTCAGAGATGGCGTCTGCCAGCTTCCGCCTGATACGCCATGTAACCACCACAAGAACAAGGACCACAATCGAGAGAACGACAACCACGGCAATCAGGGCATTCTCAGTTTCTGAAAGAAAACAATCCAAGAGATTTAAAAAAAAACACATGTCAAGACAGAACGAGTATGTTGACACAATTTCTCTCCTTCACTGGGGAAGAAAACTCTACTGAAGAACTGCAATCCAAAGTGAAAAGTCCGATCTTATCTAGTCAGAGCTCTATCACAGAATAGGCAACAAGTAACTTAAGACTACAAGGTAAGAGTTTCTTTTTTTTTGTATTGTCTTCATATATGTACATGCATTACTAGAAATGATTCTTAAAAATATATATTCTGTTACAGAACTACCACAAACTTGTAAAAAACTACAATTGCTCTGAAACCCTTCCGCTGATTTAAGATTATATAATCATAAATTTACCTTTAAAAAATAAAATCATTTTACTCAAAGTTAAAAAGGAGTAGTTGAGGTTCTTAACTTTCCTAAGATTTTATATTTCATTGTCATCTTAACACCTCTTACTAACCGAGTTCGAGGTCCGTACCGTAAGTTACGGACCGAATTTTTTCCCCTTCGATTTATGGCCCAAGCGCGAAGCGCGCGGGTCATAAATCGTAGGGGAAAAAAACGAGGATCCGTAACTTACGGTAGGGACCGAGAAGACGAGGTTAGTAAGATATTTGTTATATCTCTACTGTGCGCCTGACGGGTTAGGAAACGATTTCTATTCACGAGGAATCAGAAAGGCTTCAAATTTCTGACGCACTTCGAAAGCAAAACGAGTCAGTTTGAAATTATTTTTAAGTCGTTAGCACGCTTTATTACATAATTTAGAGTGTAAGATTGTTTCAAACTTTCACTTGTTATAAAAGTCAAGAACACTTAGCGACAAATCAGGAAACAGCTAGACAACAGAACCAACTTTAAATTTTAGCGGATCACACACAGGAGAGTACGGCCCGCTAAATTGACCAATCACAGCGCGCGTACTAACTGAGGGATATAATAAAAATTGTTACTGCTTTGCAAAGTCAGTTCTTTTCTTTATAAAATCTGAATGGATACATCCTGTATCCATTCAGTTCCATTCATTTTTCTTTCCTGGTCTTTTCATCCCTAATTTTTCGCAGGCCACATAAAAATCATTATCAGAAGGAGCAAAATGTCTTGCACCTTATCATAGTACAGTACTAACATGTTCAGGCCCTACGTTCGTGAATAACAACCTGTATTTAGATGTGTCATAAAGCTAAAAGCTAACCACGAGCTAACTAAGCTAACTTACGCAACCAGAGTGCTTAATTTAGATTAATTAAGGAGTGCTAGCTAGGCTAATAGGAGTGTGATTTAGACTAACCAGCAAGCGAGCCATGCAAGCCAGTAATCACTACTGGCTCTAAGGCTAACCTCAAGCTATCTTAGGGAACTTGGGGAACGTTTTTGGGGGAGGGGCTATTTAGGCTAATTAGGTTCTACTGATTTAGGCTACCCAGATGGTTATTTAGGCTAACAGCAATAGCTTGCGTGTAATGGCTCGCATGACTCACTGGCTCGTGAACATTTTGAGCAGAGCAAAGCTAAAGCATTCTTACTTTTACTGGCAACAGCTTCCTTCTGTCCTGGTGGACCTATGGTAACTGGTACTGGCTTTGTAGTAGGAGGAGTAGTAGGTATCACAGCTGGTTCTGGTTCTGTCAAGGAGGAGACAAGTGAATTCCAAAATGCCATCTTTTCAGGAAGCATATTCTTCTTGACGGAAGATGCCGGACTCAACGAGATATACTTTTCATCTTTGAGAGTATATGCTGGCCATTTGGTTGAATCTTCTGTTGGTTTTCTGCATCAAACATTAAGGTCCATCAACAATTCAATGAACTAAGAATATTATTATTGTCAAACTTGTTATGCATGAATTGGTAGGGGTTTCATTAAGGGCCGGGCAGCAGCATATTGACCGGCTGTCAGAGGATGACTTTGCCCACCTGGTTTGGACATCTAGGAAAGTTTTTCTCACAGAGAAGTTCAGTTCACAACGATTTGCCTGCCTGTAAAAACCAATTACCTCTGGCCTGTTGAAAAAGTTAATGAAACCCCTGGAATTGGTCAATATTAACCAGTGACAGCAGTCCGACAGAGACACTAATGTGCGCGCTGTCCATAATAATTGCTATACACTTGAAAAATAATGACAGTTGATGATGCAAACAGAAATACCTGGTTTAGCTAATTAAAGAGTAAGATATAAATCATTGTGTTTATTATTCCACTAATATGCCTTTTTGCATTTTGCAGGAGAACACACAAAATACGACCCCATATTGCACAGTAGAGTCATATTTGTTTTAATCATTCACACGCTATTTGTGATTGGTTGCTTAGTTCCCGCAGGACTTTCTCTCAGGCCTTCATGGTCAATTGATTTCGGTGACGTATCGGAGACAAACGGCTGGGAGTATGGCCCGAAAATGATGAGAAGGAGGCAAAATATACAAAGGCCTTGGAATAGGGTTGTCCACATTATGCCGGCATAATTTTGAGCATAATAGTGAGGCATGAGCATCGAGCATTATGCCAGCATAATAGTAAGAAAAATTCCCGGAAATATGTCAAAATATCGAAAATAAATAAATAAATACATCAAAATTAGGTACAATCTCGAAATTGGGATTCCTGATTTCCTGTGAAGAAATATACCTGACAATCGACTGCCCCAGACTTCACGACAGGAAACGGACGTGGCCACGCGGGGTGACTAGGAGTCTGGGACTCATTTATAATCATCCATATAAGCATATCAAGCGATTGTATTTTATTTTAGGTAAAAAATGAATTTTGACTTTTTGAGCATAAAGAATTAGCATACTTGTGAAATGTTCGTGGCTAGTGTGACGCGGCGTTTCGTCTCGGCCAAGAGACTCTTCAGAGACCTTTAGCATTCAAAGGCAAACTCGTTGAGCATCACGCCCAAAGTCCCGTTCGCAAATTCTTGATGTTGACAGTCTGG